CCAAAACTACTTCTTTAGGCAGCTGTGAGTGAGCAAATATCCCAGAAACTCCCTTCTCAAATGAAAGGGTTATGGTTTTGCAACTTTGAGTCTGTGATGGCTGAGGTCTTGCTGAGATGCCCTCAGAGGAATTTTTCTTCTTGTCTCCGTGTAAAGTATTTGGCTTCTTTTTAATATCATAGTATAATATAATATAGTAGTATAGTATAGTATACTTTTTAGTATAATATAATAGTATTTGGCTTCTTTTTAATATAATAGTACCTCAGTTCACAAACTTAATTCATTCACCAATTCTGGAAAAGATGGCCATATATGTGTTTGTTTAGGAAAGATGGACACAGTCATGCTTGTCACTGATAGAGTTTGCAAACAAAAACAAAATTTTACCAAAGTTGGTTCATAAGCAGAGGCATTCATAAACCAATGTACAACTGTACCAAACTTTTCAGAAGGCATGTACTCCTTTGCCAAAACATTGAAGGTGTTTCCTTTCTGGTGAACTTTAAACTTTTCGATTCATTTGCTCCTGATTCTCACTGTAGAGCTGGATAAAGGCAGTCAGAAGCACCCGTACCACAGCCTGATGTTGGGCTGCCTTGAAATTTCCTTCACCAGGTTAATCAGTAAACCATATTTAATCTCAATCTCCCAAAAAGTCTTAAAACATGGGTAAAATGTAGAAAAAAATTTCTGCCAGAGAGTAACACATATAGCCTGTAGTCCAACTGCCAATGGAGTCCTTGTTCCCAACTGAAGCATATTGATCCTGGTCTTTACTGTCCACATCCCTACCAATACTTTGGTCTTCTGTTCTCTGACCAGTATTACATGTAACACACTGCTGCCAATACTCTTTGGCTTCTCTGGCCTGCTTCTTCAAAACTTCTGACCTCCTCCTCCTCGTCATCCACAGGCATCTAAACTACATGATCAGGTACAGTCACAACATTACTCTCCGTACCAATATCTGTCTTAGTCACTATTCCATTGATGGGATAAAATAACCAATAATTGGCTCACAGATTCTAGTGCACTTGGTCAAAAGCCAGCTAATCCCAAGGCAGAAATATATGGGGTAAGTGCATGATGAAAGAAAACTGCTGATCTTATGGCAGCCAGGAAGGGAGTGGGGAGGCACACCAGAAAGGAGGAGAGACAGAGACCAGAGGAAAAGAAGGAGGAAGAGAGAAAGAAAGTGAAGGGAAGGAAAAGGAAGGGAAGGGAAGGGAACTGGATGAAAAAAGGAAGGGCTACATCTTTCCAAATCAGTCTCCCAAGGACCCCATCCCTTTTGACTTGACCCTACCTTTAAATGTGAGACATTCAGATTTAAATTTTAGATTTAAACCACAACACTGATTAAGTATAGCTTCTCTTTTTATACAGTTGTACATATCTCTGCCTCAAATACCAGGATCCTGGAGTTTCCCATTTAGTTTAGGCAAACAAAAGTGGGGATCAACACACAGATCAGGAGATACATGGAATAGGACAAGGATCAGATATGGGTTGGGAAAACAACAGTAGTGACAGGAGCCAGGGTATCCCTGAAGTGAAGGATGGAGTCCTCAGTCCTAGTGAAGCACATCTTCTCCCATTCACCCACCTGACAAGCTCAGCCAGCAACATGGAGAAGGATCAGGGAAAATGCATTTTGGGCTATCTTTACCTGCCAACCTGAGCAGAGGCACCAGAATGCAGTGACCTGCCTTCCCTGACAAAATTCCTTGTCTATACTGCTGTGTGACCTATGATCCAGGCCTCTCCTTCTGGTGGGACAGAAGTAAAGCTGTGACAGATATGTCACCACCACTCTATAAAGGGACCTTCTTTATGTCATTCAACAGAACGGATGCTCTGGGATGTGCCTACATTATTCTCATTTTTAAGTGACATCTACCAACTGTACCATAAGCTTTGGAGCCTAATTTGAACTGACAGCCCCTCTAGAAAGAGTGCCCCAGCCGTTCATTTGTGATTCTGAGACTAGCTGGGCAGCCTGGAAGCTTACTCTCTCCCCATCACGGAGGACCCCTTGCTGAGAGTGGGATCATGTGCCCAGTTGTGCTCCCAGCCTGTACCTTGACAAGCAATCAGAGCCTTACCTGTAAGAAGAAGGTTATTTGATTTCAGGCCAGCCTACAGCTATCAGACAGCCAGGGCTTCGGAGAAAGACTTCAGATGCTGCAGCAACCTGTACAATAGCGGCATTCTGTGTGACACCTTCTAATGGCTACACGATTTTCAATGACTCTAATACCAATTGGTAGACTAGAGACCTCAGTTCCCAATAGATGACATTAGCAGACTACAGAACCAACACTGAGAGAGTAAGGCCGTGCTAAGCTTGAAATCCACAGTGCCATCCTGTGTACTAGTGGGACCAGAGAAGCCAGGCCATCATACAGGTCATTGGCCCCAGGACAGACATCCCCATCACAGAGAGGGAAGCCCATGACAGCAGAGAGGAGGGAGGGAGGAAGCAGTAGGACTGTATAGCTCTCAGTCCAGCCCCAGCCCACAAAGGTGGAAGAGGCTGTGTCTACAGGACCCAGTGCCTCCTCTCCCACCATTTCAATCCCCCAGGTGGAAGCAGACCAGCCTCTAGTGATGTGAGCCCAACATGAACTCTCTTCCAGATCTGGAAGCGCTGTGACCCTTTGTCTTTGAAACCAACATGCACTCACTTGGCTGTCTTCAAAACAAATTGAGTTTTATATGTCAGCCTTTGGCCAGGAAGAAAAAATAAATGCCACTGAAGGCTAAGTTGTCATGTCTATGCTGCAATCATTTACCAGAGATTAAATACAGCAGTTAACACACAGTGAAAAAGAAAGAGATAAGACACCGTGGCTCACAAGGGTGTCCAGAAGCAAAATGGATGCCCATACTTGCTATTGAGTTTGGCAGGATGAGAGAATCATTATCTGTCTTGGCAGAGAGATGAGCCTTGCGCACAACTGCATACCTCCAGTGCTGCCACCTGCACTGCCCTGCAACAGCACCCAGACAGATCAAGTTCCCCTGGACAGCTCCTGTGCCCCAGCCCATGGACAGACAATGACACTGAATGTATCTCCTTCCCAAAAAGGCACAGGCGGTAGTATCTGCCTGCCTGAACACTTGGGCAGGGTCCCTGTGTCTCTGCTGTCCTTGATTAGCACCCTTCTATTTCCAATGAGAGGATCCTGCTCAGTCACATGAAGTCATTTGCCTGGGTCCTCACCCTGAGATCCTCCTCTGGTCACCTCTACAGATGATCATCTACAGATACCCCACCCTTCTATGTATCTTTAGTCCTTGGCAGCAGCTGGATTCTCACCCCTTGACCCACACTGAACTCTCACCAGGCCCAGTGTGTGCTCAGTCCCTTCCTTTTCTGCTCATTCACAGCCAGAGTCAGCCTTAAAATGTATCTGTGACTCCATACCCTTCCTGGGCTCCTGCTTCCCTGCAGAATCTTGATGTACTGCCAGCTCCTCAGGATCTATGCTCAACACATTGGCCAGTGTGGTCCAGGGAAGCCCTCACCCAAGAACACAACTGCATCCATGGTCCTCCTCCAACCTTGGTGGAGAAGACAGAGGTGAGAGCTTACCCAGTATCTGTCATATCTGTCATAGCCTCTGGTGCTGGAATCAGGCTCCTGGTCCCTATACCCCAGGCCATCCAGGAGCAAACTCATCCCAGACACCCACTGAACAATCATCCTCACTTGTTCTGTGTTCTTCTCTCGATCACTACCCTAAGGGCAGTGGTGCATACCAAGTTCCTTTGTGGCCCCATTGAAGAAGACTGTGCTAAGTACCCTTGTGGGTTGATCTTACCAGCAGGCTTTTCCCCTGCTGGCACTGATGACATGAGTGGCCTCTCTGGGAGGATCCTTATGACGAGGAAATTCGGGGCAGCCTCTGGTCACCAGCCAGCACAGAGCAGGGGCTTCTGCTCCACAGCCCCCAGAAACCAGGGAGCCTGAGAAGGGCTCTTCCCAGCTAGTCAACTAAATGCCAGGGACCTGAGTAAAAAATGCAGCTCAGCCTATCTGACTTCTGTCCCCTAAGATAGGGTGCTTTTGGTAATTTGTCCCCAGGAGAGGTACTGCCATAAATGCCCATTATGTCTGTTGACAGGAATGTGAAAAATAGCAAGTTACCAAGTGTGTTTTAGATTTTTCCCTCTAAGTGAAGGCAAACCAGCAAGTAGACACCAGTGGTTCCTGGGGACCACTTTACCCCTGGGGGCCTGGGGCTGGGATATGTGTACTCTTCCTGGAAGGGAAGATCAGCTTTCAGGAGACAGGGAGAACACTCATGGGAGAATCAAGCCCTAGACTGTGAAAAACTTACACCAAAGAAGGTGCAAAGGATGCCCATGTCCTTTTATAGTGGATGAAAGCCCATAAGTCAGGGCTGAGTGAAGGATGAGCAATCAGGGCCACAGGTCAGAACAAAGTGACCCTGGTGCAGCCCTGGGAGGACTTATCTTGCTACCTTCAAAAACCACGTGGCATCTGGGCTGACTGAGCTGGGAAGCTCCTCCATCACTGAGGGGCAGGCTGCTTCCTCTCCTGGGCCTTTTGCCTCCAAATCTCTGGGATTCAGACAAGCTCTGATCCATTGCATGTTGAGCTGGTAGAGAAACCATTCCTCTCTCTCTCTCTCCCCAGAGAAATTAAAGGTACAAAGCTCATAGCTGTGACAGCCTCGGTTCCAAGCAACTAGCCCAACAGAAAACCACCAAGGATAAAAGGCTTGCAAAGCTTTCATGGTTGGCAGGATAGGTCAGTGTGCCCAGGCCATCACTTTCACAGAATGACCTGCATAGGCAGAGGGTAAGGGTCAAACCCACAGGCCTTCCCAGGTCAGTACCACATCCCAACAGGCAGACCTGGCTTGGCACCCTCCCTCTAGTCCCATTTTGGACATAAGGGGATGAAACTGCTGCATACTGGGTGTGGGGAAACAGGAATAAAATGTGGAAAAGCACTGGGTAAATATTCTATTTCCAGATGCCATTGTTAGAATAATTATACATATTTTAATAGGCTTTATTTTTCAGAACACTTTTAGGTTTTGGAGAACGTGTAGAAAGAACAAAATTCTGAAGGTGCTTCACAGATGGATGAGCAGCAACTGACTTAGGAGACCAGGAAAACAGAACTCTTGGACAGCAATGTCATTGAGACTGTAATGGTTGACCTGCAGGCTCAAATGCTTGAAGGAACAATGCAGGGCTATAAATGGACAAGTATTTGCCCCAAGCCCCATTCTGGAGCAGCTGCATCTCCAGATCATGCTCCTGGCTCTCAGGATGGGGTTTGAGCATGGAATTATTTTTCTGTGCATCAATAACATGGTGGCTTGTACTCCAGAGAACCATCTGTCCTGGAGCCGGGGCTTCAGGACAAATTTCCAGGCAGCCAGTCTCCTGTGGGATGGAAAAGTTTTCTTAGGAAAAGAGACCAGTGGCCAATGGAATTACCCAAAATCTCACTCAGACTCAAGTACCACCCTAAATGGAGCACCCATCCTGGAGCTACCCCACCCAGATAAGATCATCTGTTGTCACCCAGAGTGCTGAGACTAAAGAAGAAAACATCCTCGAAGACCAGAGGGCAGAAGCTCCCATGGTGACAAGTACACTCTGGGAGCAAGGAGACAGGAGCAGGAAGTGAAGAAAGACCAGAGTCAAGAAAACAGCACTCAGGGAGACAGAAGAAGACAGAAGAAATTGGAATCACAGGAGTGACAAGTGGGGAAATATGGACCTGAGGCAGAGAAAGCATGCAAAGAAAATAGAGGACCAGTCCAGAGGCTGACATTTTAATGACAGAGGCTGAGGGTGGTGGCTATTCAGAAGGCTGAGGCAGTAAAGTCATAAGTTCAAGACTACACTGGGTAGTTTAACAAGGCCTAACCTCAAAATAAAACAGAAATATGAACCAAAGAGACAAAGTCAGAGAGACACATAAAGAGAGAGAGAGAGAGAGAGAGAGAGAGAGAGAAAGATCAAACTAAGAAAAAGGAGGAAACATCCAAGAAATAATTCAGTAAATGCTCCCTATGGAAGACCTTTCCTGAGCTGAACTGTGCATCAAAATCCTTGTGCTAAATCTAGTCCCCAGGATCTTAGAGTGTGACTATTCTGGAGACAGGTGTAATGAGGTCATTAGCCTGGCCCTGATCCAATCTGACCAGGGTCCTTACAAGAAGAGGAGATCCAGAGACAGACACACACAGAGGGACAACCATATGAGGACATGGGAAGACAGCCACAAGGAGAGAGGCCTCTGGAGGAACCAGATTCAGACTCCACCCCTTAGGGCTGTCAGACGAAAGTTGTGTCATTTAATCAGCCTGCTCAGTGACACTTGGATGGCAGTCTACACTGCTTAATCTGGGCACAAGCTCCAGACTCAGTGGGCCACTAAGAACATAGCCCCACAGATGAGCTTCAACCCATAGCAAGGGTCATAATTACAGCGACTCAGAATACAGGGAACAAAGAGGAAATCTGGCCAACTTCCAGTAAATCAGAAATAAAACAATGACAAACACATTTCACACAGAAGATCAAGAATCTAAATGTCATTATTCATAATGGCAAGGCAGGATGCTGGAAAAGGAGGACCCATAACTAAACATTCACAGAGAATCAAGCCCTCCCAGACCCGACACACATCAACATGCCAGCTCAGAGCAGCGCAGAATGAGCCTATTTACAGACTCGGAGGCAGCTCCCACACACCCTCATCAGGAGGATTTGCTCTGCCAGATAAAGGAGCGAGGCAGGAAAAAAACAAGAGAGAATTCAGAAGTCCTGGGACAGGCTGGAGATGAAGAGACCCGCACCAGGTTCCAGACAGCCAGGCCAGGTCAAAGCAATTTCCTTATAGGGACAAAATTAGCAGAATGCTGATGTCTTTAACAGTCCTGATCTCTTTAACAATCCTGATGTGGTTACAAGATTAGGACAGCATTTGGGATGGTATTAGTGTTCAGTGGGCAGGAAACTAAGTGAATAAAAAAAAAGACCATTATTACCTCTGGGGGAAAGCATGTTGATGCAGGAGACAAGAGAGAAATAATGTATTAAGAGCTCAGCTTTGAGGCATGTTTACATTATCGATCTCAGAGAAATGGCATCACTACTGTATGGGGAGGTGGGCGAGGTACAGGCAGCAGCCAAGCTGTCAGAGGGGCCAGGGACAAAAGCACTCAGTCCTTTTTCTCTACAGTGGATTCAATAGATAGACTCCAAACCTGAGAAACTGAAAAGCAGTGTGTGCTTGCCTTTTGGAGATATGGAGGTAAAATACCACATCATCAGGAAAGATGAAAATGTTTGCTCCGGGAGCCAGAAAACTGGGAGAGGCAGCAGGCCAAGGTCCAGGACAGGTAGGCAGCAGGTGCACGGCTATGCTGCTTTCCAGGACTGCCAGTGGCATTAACCACTGACTGGGACCTGGAGTAACACAGATCTATCCTCTTCTGGCTCTCGGTCAAAGGTCTGAAATCAGCGGGGCAGTGCCTCATTCCTTTGGGATGCTCTAAAGGAGGCTCCTTCCTGCCCCTGCCAGCTCCTGATAGCTCCAGGCATTTGCCTCCCTCCAGCCTCTGCTCCATTTTCACGGGGCTCTTCCTCCTGTCTATCTGTATCTCCTGTGCAGGTAATTGTCTTCAGGGTTAGAGCCCTTTACAAGCCCAGGTAATCTTAGCTTGAGATCTTTAATTTTATCTTTAGAGACCTTCCAAATAACATTGCTAAATTTAGGTTGTGGATGTATGGGATGGACAGCACCTACAATGCTGTCAAAGCAAAGAAGTTTTGCTCAAGCTCCCTGGCCACTCCTGGACACTCCTGCCAGGCTGCCACCCACTGTCCTGCCTCGGGAGATGGGAGGCTCCTTGCACTCTGTTCTCGTGCTTCTCTTTATGCTGAGCCACATCTGCCTTCTAAGACCTCACCTTTCAGCTTCAGGGCCAGCTCTTAATGCTCAGGGCACTCAGCTGGCCTGATGACCAGGCACACTTAGAGTTGGTCGTGTTGGTGTGGCAGGAATATCAGGGCTGAGGGATGGCAGCTGAATCCCTTGAAGCTAAAGCTTCCCACAGAACAGATCCAGACCAGGCCACCAGACAGGGCACATCCCCTTGCTCACTCACGCTTGTGCACATCCCTAGTCTTACATGCACATACACCCAGTCATCTCACCTCCACTTCCACCTCTTATCTAACATGCACATTCTTACACATACACACTCCTACACCTATCTGCTCTCTTGCATACCTGTGCACACATACACACTCACATCCTCCCCCCACAAACATCCTCACATAGGTGTATACTTAGATGCACTCATTACATCCCATGACACTTACTCCATTCACTATGTTCTCACCCTGCTGGGCCTTTTTTTTTGCTCTCATGAGCTCTTCAGTCCTGTGCTCAAGTGTGTTTGTAGTTTTCCTGTAAGTCTCCTGCTGGATGAGAAACAGCCAGGCCAACCATCAAGGCTTACCAGTATCTTCTGAGTGACTTCTCAATTTTCAGATAGCAAGGCACTGGCTCAGTGAGGGATCACAATGCTCACAGCCCTGCAACAAAATACAGAGTGAGCAGAGGTCAGAGGTCATTCCTGTGTCCTCCTCTATTGCTTCAGCCTAAAACTTCAAGGTCAGGCTCACCTTACCCTTTTGCAACATCCAAGCCATCAGGTTCTGCCTGATGTTCCCTTAAAATACACCCTAACTCCTCTCTCCACTCACTCCCTTACCCCGAGCCTTCTTGCAGAGTTTAGCACAGTTCTCTCCTTACCCCACCCTCCCATCCTCTCTATTCTGGTCCAGGGCAGCAGTGTTCACTGCCAGAACTGACATGATGTGAGCAAGCACATGATCAGGCATGTGTCTCCACTGGAAATGTTCCCAGCTGCCTGCCAGACAGGTGCCATAGGCCACATGTGCTGCATAGCACCAAAATATGCTCTGTGAGCCAGGAGAAATGAATTTTTCTGAAGTTTCTGGAGGTGCAAAGAAGAGCAGAGTCCAGATAGCTGCCCCTTAGATGGGAGAAGGCTGGAGAGTGGTGAGTGACACATCTGGGAACACACAGGCACAAGAAGAATGTGGAATGAAGGGACAGGTTGCAGGAGCCTGGTTCGGGTACTTGGCACTTGGCAGAGAGGCAGAAAAAAGATGCTTCCATCAACTTTGTGATACTAGTGGAGAGGCCACTGCCTGGGGCATGGGCAGGGCAGGGACACGGGTTCACAGGCTGGGACAGGGAGAAGATAAGAGATTCCAAGAAAAATAAACAGGGCGGGGAAATGCAGTAATCCTTTGGAGTTATGGAACTTTGGGGTGTAGCCAGTACTTTCTCCTCTTGCCAATGTGCCCCAGCACCACAGACAATAGCAAACCAAGCCCAGAAAAACAAGATAGACTTGGATACATGACTGAATATCCCACTTGTAGGGAAGAAAGGAATCTGCAAGCTTAGAAATAGTAGAAGACATTATAAAGGAAAATTGATTATTTGCAATTCATAAGAATGAGAAATTATTTATTATAAAATAAACTCTAAAATGAAAACCAATGTTGCATTCCAGCCAATTAAGAAATGTGTATCAAAATCTTCATACACAGGCTTGAAACAATAATTCCCTTTTATTTACTCGTCTGAGACAACAGACTCTCAAAATGAAGGGAGAAAATCAACCATTATGTGCTGAATGGAAATGATATGAATGCTCACGTATGGGAGATGTTACATAGGTCAGATTAATTCACATAATAAAGAGTTTAATCAATAAAAATTATACCTAAGAAGACTCAGCCAGATGGAATAGGAAATATTGAAAATGCTAAGTCTATACCTCACAATGGTAGTCATAAAAAACAAAGGAAGATGTACAGAAAATAAAGGATAGAAAAAGTTTTCTAAGATCACAAGAAAACTTATATCCAAGAAGAGGACCTTCTCCCAGCATTTCAGTCTGCCCACATATACCACATGGCAGGCCAGGCAGAGATGCCATGGCCTGCATGTTACTCTCTATGGTTTTGGCAGTCAGTGCTCGTGAGGACAGGCTTTAGGCATCCTTTGTCCACATGGTATTCAAAGGTGGACACGACTCCTGCTCCTCCTCCCCATAAAGAAAAACAAAAGGAGACAAGAATATGTCAGAAAGACATGAAACTTGCTCTTAAAATTATGTACTGTTTTTGCTCATTGATTTTTTTCCTCCCTGGAATGTCAGCCCCAGGAGTGCAGGGCTGTGTCCACTTTGCTAACATGCCACCCAGCTGCACAAGCTTTCTTGCCTGGAAATTAGGAAGTGTCCACCAGAGAGCACTGCAGCAAAATACAGGTCCCAGAGTGGTCTGGCACCCCTAGCCTCAATTGCTATGCAAAGAATATCACTACCACCTCCATCCTCAACAGAATGCAGCCAACCTGAGCCTGCTTCCAGAACCCTGGCCACCCCTGCTTTTCACAGCCTGGGCAGCAGTGAGTGAGTAGGTGGTCAGTAAGTGCTATCATAACAGAAGGAGGAAGCCAAGATACACTCCTATGGACACAAATATACACATACATTTACACACATGCGCTCTGGTCCCTTCACATGCTCTACTGACCCCTGTGTGTATGCACTGAACTCCCTCTGCACACACATGGTCACCCCGGAGGCCCCTGATTGTGCAATGGCAGACAGTGGCAATCCAAGTGGCAGTCTCAGGGACGTGCCGATGCCTCCAAACACCTGTTGCTCTTTCTGTAGCTGCAGTTAGCAATAAAAAGTGGTTTCTCCCTGAGAACCTCTGTCCTTACTACCTGCCCCCAGCTTGGGGCTGACATTTGTCAGCCACTCATTCCCAAGTGTGCTGGATAAACATATTCATACACTCATTACCCCTCACTCACACTCATGCTCATCATGAACTTCTCTGGTGGGTTTGTAAACTCAGGGATCGGGGAGGGAGTGGTAGGGAGGAAATCTCCGCTCTGTTCGCTGCCTCTTGGGGGCGCTGTTTCCAGCCTGTGGCACATAAATACTGATCTCTGATATTCTGATGACCTAACGCTGGCCTCTGAATTCCTCCCACCTGCTGACCACCACTTGTGCTAGGCTTGAACTCTGGTTCTGAGTTTTCTGCAAGGTGGCCCTGCAGCAGCTGGCCAGGTTCCCCTGACACCACTGGTCTGCCCCTAACTTAGGTGAGGAACATTCAGAGTGGCCTACATTCCCTTCCAGTGAGATACTTCTTCTAATGGACCATGTGGGGATCCTCTGCTGCACCTAAAACCTAATGACCCCGGGATCCCAGGCCATGGCCCAGCATTTTCCCTCCCTGCAGGACTCACCAGGTGTACCCACCTGTACTGTTTAAATACAACCCCCTCATAGATGTGTGAGACCTAGAGAAAAGAGGAACCTAGTCACATCTCTGAGCTGATGGGGTTATTGGCTCAGGACACAGGAGCCTTCCAGAGCTTTCTTTCCTCACCTTGCACACAACCACACAGAACAGCCTCACTGAGGCTCGCAGAAGAGCGAAACCAAACTCTCCTGCCATCTCCATCTCTCCCAGCAGACTGTTTCCTTGGCACCTCATGCTGGTTGTGGTCTCCAAAGTAGCCATAAGGCCCTGCAAATTTATCATAAAGTGTTTCCAGGAAACCAAAATCCAGCCCGGTCTGAGGAAGGGGAGCAGCCCGGGTGTTGTAGGGGTCAGCACCAGCCAGGTACAGAGAGCAAATGGACTATTTTTGCCAGCAACACACCCAGGGTACAGATGTTCCAGTGCTGGTCCTCCCTGCCTGTGATGTCTCTGAGCTGGAGTCCATGAACAAGAGGATCTTACCTTTCCTCTCCCATGCTTCAGCCCCCAGAAGCACAGGGGCCAGGAGGGGCTGAATCAGAATTCTTGAGCGAATCCCCAATCTGATGATTACTCCACCTACCCCAGTTGTCCCCCACCCCGGCCTCCCACCCACCCAAACAGATATCATCAAATGTTGACATCACCATGGCACTGTGTCACTTCTCCCCCACTGCCTGGTGTCACTACCCCCACAGCAGAGGAGCTGGTTGAGACTTAGTTATCTGCCTAGGCCACAAACTAGGTTCCCTTCCCTTTCTTCCAAGGTCAGTCAGTCTCAGAATGGAGGGCCCAGCTAGCCAAGGACAGAAGGTGTGGTGGCACTAGGGCTATAGCTGAGGGCTCCACCCCTGGGTGGATTCCCATCTGTGTCTGGGGCCAGACTCAGCAAATTAATGGAGAAAACAGACAGTTAAATTTGAATGTCATAGACAATGAATATTAAATGTAAGTGTGGCCCATACAATATTTGGGATGTACTTCTGCCATAAAATCACGTTATGTATTAGAAAAATGCAACTGGGCATCCTGTACTTTACCTGGTCACCCTACCTCCAGTCAAGGGGTCTCTGGGCTGTGGGGTTCGTGTTGGGCCTGGGGACTCAAACTCACAGGGTACAGGGACCACCACATGAGTCTAAGGACCCAAATACCCATATGGAATCTCAGTAGAGAACACATTGGGGCGCACATGTGGAAGAGAACTCTCTCAAGGAAGCTGATCCTTCTTTCAGGCTCAGCCTGACATAGGAGTCCAGGTCCAGGACAAAGATGGCAAGGCCACAGTCAGAGGTTCAGTCTTCCATTGTGGGGCACTGTGGATCAGCAACCTACAGGACAGGCCAGTTTTCTGTATGTCTGTAACAAGGAGCCACAGTGCCTTTGGGTCCTGGAGAGAAGGGGCAGGGTGTAGGGGTGTTGAACAGGAAGCACCTCCTCCTCCTCCTGGACTATGACCAAGGAGAAGGCAGCCACCACTTGTGCCCTCCTGGAGACCCCTCCCCCATTTCAGGATGGGGAGCAGCTTCCCCCCTCCCCATCTTCCTAGCTCAGGGAAGGCAGTGGGTGTCTCTCTGGTGCTGATAAGCACCAACTTCAGGCCACTGAGCAGATTTCACTGCCTCTCTTACAAAGAACAGCGAGCACAGGCAGGCACACTCCACCTCCCTGTACAAATAGATTTTCCTTTTCCTTTCTTATTTTTTCTCTTTTCAACAATTAGCACTTGAAGAGGCCAGCTTTAAATCAGAAAAATGAGACATTAGGACTCACACAGGCTGACAAAGAGGACCTGTGGCCACAGAAGTCTGCAGCCATCTCTCAGCAAGTATCGCCAGAGCCATCCCCTGTGGGGACAGGGAGCAAGGGTGACCCTGCTCCTGCTTGTGGACAAGGTCTAAGGGGTGAGTGGCCTCTACCCCATCCAGCCTCCCTACTAGCAGTCCCTGGCTAAGGACAGAGCAAGACGGAGTGCGCTGGGACCAAGCAGGGTCAACGTGAGTGTTGCCAGAGAGGGAAAGTCAGAGATGGCATGGAGCTGGGGTAAGGGGACGATGAGAGAGCCATTCAGAGACAGAAGCATCCAGGCCACCTGGACAAGGGAGAAGAAGGAGAGAGAGGTGAGCAGGACAGGAGGAGAGGCCGCCCCTGCAGGGGCTGGACAGGGTGGGCCTTGGGCAGGAGGGTGCAGGCAGGGATTTACACAGGACAGAGGGGCTCAGACTAGCTGCCAGGTCTTTTTTCATTCTTTTCTTTTTTTAATGTTTGATTAACACATCATGAATGTACGTATTAATGGGGTCCAGTGTGGCATTTCCACACATGCGTAGTGTGCGTTGATCAAATCCAGCCAGTTCTTCCCTCCAACCCAGCCCCTAATCGTGGCTGATCTCCCCTTGGGTTGATTTGCTTCCACACATGAGTGAGAACTTAGTCCTTGCCTGGCTCCTTC